ACGTGAAAGGGCTGGAGCACCCTTAAGGAGGGGGGACTATAATCGTGACACATCCCGTCTGGTAGCCCCCAGTAGAGCTCGCGGCCTGGCATTCACCGATACGTTAACACTCGGCTTGGTTTGAACCCCAGGTGGTGGCTCACCCTTCGCACGTCCTTGAGCTGCAGATGAGAAAGGACGGTTTTAAGATGGAGCCGGGGCAGTACGTGTTTTTGCAGTGCCCGGCGATATCCCGCTTAGAGTGGCACCCTTTCACCCTGACGTCTGCTCCGGAGGAGGACTACTTCAGCGTGCACGTCCGTCTGAAGGGAGACTGGACCGAAGCCCTGCGCGCTGCCTTCGTGGATCACAGGCGGTCCACAGGCTTTCCTCAGCTACCACGGCAAGTCTGCCCAAAGCTCACGCTGTCTCGCTTTGGGGGTCGCACCGAGAGCACGCCCCCATTTTTAAGGATGCCTGGCAAATGTTTGTGCAAACATTTATATGGGACTGGGTTTGTTTGGGCTTCCGTTAGACCTCAAGTTCCCTACAGGGTAGGAGACGGAAGTGAATGATTTAAAAGTGGAAAGAAAACAAATTTCACAGGACATAGTCAATACAGTTGGTGCCTCACAAGGTAATACTACAGTATGTATAGTCTTTTATTGCGTATGTACAGCTGAACTTTTGCTGCATTAGGAAGAGTCATGTGTTCTTATTGAAACACTTTAGGTTTCAATAGTCAATACAGGTGGTGAATGACAGCCATTTTTTCCTGTCACTTATCATTTTTTAATACAGGGCTGTTAAAAGGATTTTGGAGATTTTGAAACTGGAAACTCAGACGGAAATAAAAAAAAAACATGGACATTTAAGTAACCTTAAAATGCTCTTATTTGAAAGAATCCTTTTGAAATGACCTATTCTGTCTCAAAACATAATGGCAAATAAAGAAAATATGACCTTCTTAGAAAAAAAAGGATGAGGTGATCGAAGTCCTGTGGTGTTGTCGTGATGTCACGTGTGCTCTTCTGCTGACTGTGCTGTGCTGATTCTCGCAGAATGGCTGTCGACGGTCCATTCGGCTCGGCCAGTAGCGATGTGTTCCGGTACAGGGTCAGCGTTTGCATTGGAGCTGGGATAGGAGTGACCCCTTTCGCATCGGTTTTGAAGTCCCTCTGGTACAAATCATGCAACCCCTCCACGCCCATAAAACTTCAGAAGGTAATCTGTTCTCAGGACACGGCTTTTGTAATTGTGCCCACCTTACTGGAGAAGAATAGCCGTGTTTCACGCGTGTTATGTTTCTCAGTGTACAGCACCATGCATTCGCTTCTGTTCAAGGGACGGATTCTTTTTTTTTTGTCGCTGCCAGCTGTATTTTTTCTGGCTTTGCCGCGACACCTCAGCCTTTGAGTGGTTCTCCGACCTGCTGTTCTCACTGGAGACCCGGCTGGCGGGGAAAGACCGCCTCCTGAGCTTCCACATTTTCCTCACCGGCTGGGATGAGGCTCAGGTGAGAGCTGAAACCGGGCGCCCGCCTCCCCCTGGCTTGCCGGTGTTTGCCAGCTCTGTCAAAAGTTGGTTTCGTTTTGTTTGGGTAGGCCTACCACATAGGCCTGCACTGCGAAAACCACAGAGACGTCGTCACGGGCTTCAGGGAGAAGACCTTCTACGGCCGGCCGGACTGGGACCGGGAGTTCAGGAGCATCGCGGACGCTCACCCGCGGTAAGCAGACACATGCTCTCCGGGACTGGGAGTCTCCTGAACGCAGGTGGGCTAGATAGGGCCAACTCCAAGGGCACGAGCAGTTTCCCACTGTTGAACAGTGTGGGAGTGGGCGGTGAAAAGCCGGCGCCCCTCACTGAGGGACGGAAGCACCGGTGTGAGGTTAGCAAGAACCGAAAATAACACAAAAAAGTGAACAAAAGGCAAAAAGAAAGGTGTACCGCCGTGCCACGCAGTATCCAGGCTGGACTTATCCTATTTAACGCAGTCCAGCCTGGGAAAAATCTAGAATCGCTAGCACAGCTGTAGCCAGACTGGACTTTTAACGGGGTTCGGTCTGGGAGAGCAGGGTGCGCAAGACCAAAACAGAATAAAAACTCAGTGTGTGAAAAAGGACCGCCTGCCCCTGTAGAGATATGTAAAGGGACAGGCGAAAAGAAAAGAAAAAGAAAAATAACGCCCCTCTGGGACTGCCGGTGAAAAGGTCCTCCCCTTGCGGGGTGGCCCTGCTCGTCCCTTTGCGGGGTGTCCTGTGTGCTTTTCTAGAGCCCTCACAGCTGTGGCTCGCCCTCAAGCAGCCAGGACAGCTGGGACTGCAAAGGCGAGGCGCCGCCCTTCCTCCAGGGCTCCGCCTCCACACTGGACACGCCCCCGCGTCGTGCCACAAGGGGTTGGGAAGCATCTGCACGTTTGTTAGGTCTGACCTGGATTCCTTTCTCCAGATTTTTAGGAACATTCACGGAGCTGGAAAGGTTAGCAGTGGAGAGCAGTCTGGTAAAGCACTAAGCTGTTATTTGTAAACACATTTAGGCACACCGTCCTTAACACCCCCATACAATCTCTGGTATAGAAGACATAAATATATGAAATATGTTTGTTTATATTTCATTGGGGTTCATGTTTTTTCTTTTGTATTTTCTTTATGTGAAATACCTTTAAACTGACTTTAACCAGCACAATGCAGCTAATTAAGAGACAAGGGGGGTTTCACTCTAAGTCACTGCTCTTCACTCTATGTTTTTACTCATCACTCTCACAGGCAGAGTTTACAGGTGTTACTGTTTAACTAGAATTTCAGCCCTCTATTTTATTTAGTGATACATGTCTATATGGTTGCACATTTATTTTGTCTGTTCCTAAATAAGATAGTATTTAAATAATGACGAAGCAACATCCTATATTCAAAGAACAATGAAAAAGTTCAAATTAGATCTGGTGAAAATTACTATGAATGGGAATTGAATTTTAAGGAGAGGCATGTTTCTGTAAAATAAAGACTGGAAATGCTCCTGATGATTCTACTAAATGAGCACTGTGCACCGTACAGGTCCAGTGTGCATGGGCATTTAAGATGTACAGTACTGTCTGAAAAGAGTACAGGAATATGTGAGCAAAATGAGAAAATCACTCTCTGACAAATGGTAAGGACAATGTATACTCATAGTTTTAAAATGTAAAACTTTGTCCGTGTTCCTAGCACAGTGATCCTTATGCATGAGCCTGGAGAACCACAGTCCTGTATTTTTTATCATCTCCTGAATGATAATAAAACTTGTTATTAATGCGGATGACGTCAAATCGAGTGCATGGACAAACTCATTAAAAGGTGATTAAAAGTGAGTGTATCCTCCTAAATGTGTATTTCGAGGATGTGAAGCTGGTCTAGACTGACAGTTCAGTCCCTCTCACTGACAGAGAGCAATCGCTTTCACATCAGCTCAGCCTCACCGATCGTGACATGCACCAAACGACAGCTGCTGACTGCGGCGTGCTTGAAGGCTGATGAATGCATTCAGTAACATGGAACTGCACCTGGTCTGGAAGAACAATTCAGCCACTGTTTTGCTACAGTCACAGGGGGATTCTCTAAGAGAGAAGTTCTGCTCTTGGCAGTAAAGGAATACCTGAGCATCGTCGGTGCCTGGCATTTCAAATAACCCGTACTGTACAGTATCTCTTCTGGCTGACACATCAAAAGTATTAGTCTGTGTTTAATAAACAGAACAATCGTGACACTTCATTTCATGGTAACGAACCTAACATTAGTATGGTAGACAGAGAAACATACACAGATGAAAAGCAGGATTGTCTAAATAAAAGTTTTATTAGAATTAGTTCCTGCATAAAAATATGACTATATTAGGGCATAAAAGAACAATAAAAAATACGTTTTGCATTGAACATGTGTATATTGCATTTACCAGTGCAATATACCAGTGTATATTGCATTTACTCTAGAGGGCGCTCTGAACTTTTTTGTGTTAAGTTCATCGTCACGTTCACCTGCCCCCTTGTTCCGCTCTTTATCGAAACCCAGTGCTCCAGAACCTCGGCGCTCTGCATTGGAAGACGGACGCCCTGAGGCCCGCCTAGCTTCAAGTCGCCCTGCATCCGCAACTTGAAGGCTTAGGCTTCCGATCGGCGTCCTGACCACCTGAGTCCAGGGCTCGGAGCGCCTGGCCTCATCACTCTATTTTTAACTTTCTTGTTCCTGGTTCCATGTCCCCTTTCCTTGTTTTTATTCTTGTCTTCGTTTTGGATGGACCTCCCGGTTTTGGACTATGGACTTCCTTGGACTTGTTTGCCAGCATTCCCCCCTTGCACCTGGATTCCCTGTCGGCACCGCCCCCTGTTCGCCATCCCTTCCAGTCCTCTCCTAACCATGTTTATACCGTCTGCACAGGGTCCTAAACTACGCTTGGTTACACATTAGAAATGAAAGTCTCTTGTGACTTGAAAGCACAATATGCTGCTTTGACATCAAGACCGCGAAATAAAGTAAGAGTAACTTGCACAGTAACATTGGTCCTGGAGATCCCCGATATAGTTAGTCTTAAAGATCACCTGCTTTTAAAGACAGTATCTGGAAGCTATTGAATGAATCAATTTGTTTATCTGTTCAATTAAGAAAACTGGTGCTTGAGGGCTGGAGAGTACCTAGATTTAGTCCTACGTGACCTCTGAATTACTTCATTTAACAAATCACCTGCTTAATCGATTAACAATGAAATTGTTCTTTATCTTTAGAAATGGGTGATTTAATGGTAACATACACAATCTGCAGGATTGGAAATTTCCAGGATCAGGGGTTGGAGATCCCTGCGGTAAATGATATAGTATTTAAAATTTACTTTTCAAAGAAGATTGGTATAGCACTGTAGTGATTGTTGGTCTCAGCTGGATTCCTCTTTATTCAATGAAGATTGTCCTTATCTCCACTTCAGCTGCACTGGGTGACCAGAAATGACTCACACATGTACACAACCTGAAGGAGAATGTAAGGGCCATGGTGCTGTAACTCTAATATTGTCCGGACTGGGGTGGGGAACTGGGCCAGCCGCAGAGGAAGCAGGAAAGGCTAAAGAAAAGGTCAAGGAAAAGTGGAATTAACCTCTGATTGCTCAAGACAGTTTAATATCAGTGTGTAACAAGCTTTTTAAGGAAGTGGAATTCGTGGAAGAGAGATTTCTGGAGATGGGTTGCCCGGGCTTCAGCAATGTGACGTTGCGCGACGTCGCATGATTTAGCGTAACTTGGCTTGACGTAGCGTGACGTAGCATGACCTGGTGTGGCCTGGCGTGGCGTGGCATGACCTGGTGTGACCTGGCGTG